TATATATATATCGTCACAAACAGAACTGCCCGGTAAAACTGTAGGCAGAGAGAGAGAAGAGGACAACAAACGAGGGGCTGTGACAAACTGTTTCGTCGGAGTTTCACCGACTCATCAGGAGGCTGAACCCTATATATATATATGGATTCTGCAGACTGGGAGGGAGGTTGTCTATAGCGGTTGACGATGGCCACTCCACGTTGGCCACGGTATACACGACGAGCACAGCCAGGGAGGAGGGCATGCCACGATGAACGTGGAGGCGGGAAACGGACGGCCATGGCCACGCACCATACGCAGGGAGCAGCAGACCCGCGGCGACTGCAGCAAACGAAAAAAAAAAAAAAAAAAAAAAAAAACACCGAAATGCATTACTTCACAACTCGGCCTGAACGTAGGTCCATCTGTTGTCCGTTCAGATGGACCTGCCCTCAGGCCGAAGTGCCAACGAGCGGTACCGGTACCGGTACCCCGTTTTTTCAGGAAACGACAGAGGCTCGGAAAAATTCGGCGCGCAGGGAAATTCAGGCTCGGATTCAATAGCTGAGCGAGGTACTGGTGGTTTAAAAAACACTTGAGCCTGGCGCGGTTCGACGTTACACTCCACTCACACTCGAAACAGGAGCGGGAAAGTGGCAGAGGCTGTTGGCGCGAGGGAAGGGGGGATGTAAAACAAAAAAAAGAAAAAACGGGGGGAACGTGCAGTGCCTACAACCGCCTCCTGGCTCTCACTTGCGCCGTTTTGAAGTGTGGCTCAAGTGTGCCCGGAGAGGTGACTTGAAAAAATCACCTATTCGCCTGGGCCGCACTTGAGCCGCACTTCACCTTTTTGGCGGGCGCGGGGAGAGGCGGGAAGCCTAATAGCGATTAGGGAAGGTGAAACTCAAGTGCAGTGCAGTGTGGAAAGAGGAATTTCTCAAGTATTTCTAAAGTGGAGTGGTGTGGAAAGAGGCCCATTGTCCTTGCTGAACTTCTCGCGAGATGTTCCTGCTCATTTAAGGGCGAACTCGAGGGTTGAGTGGAAGGAAACGTGACCCATGTATTTTTCAATCACTTTTGCAACTCGAGTACAGCGCGAACCTCACAGTTGCATATGCTTGGGGGGACCAGGCGGTCCGTGCAGACTACCCTGTGCGAACTGGCGCGCTCGGTGGTGCGTGGACGGACAGCGGGCCGTTCGGCCCGTCCGTCCGGCCGGAGGCTGCCCGCCCGTTCACACTGGACATCGGCCCAGACACGCTGCCCTACTCGTTCACACTACCGGTAGGCACCGTGTGGGCGACGCTGGCCTGCCCAGAAAATGTACAACCGGGGGGTTCTTGCTGTACCCAGCATGGTTTGGCCGGACAGCCGGAGGCCTGGGCAAGTCCGCTGTCAATTCGGCGCCCCGCACGGCCCGCACGGCGCGCAGGAGACCACCAAGGAGAGCGGCGTGCGGCAGGAGAGAGCGTCGCGCTAAGGAGAGGTGCGCACGACCATGACGCTCTGTCCTCCACATTCTCTTCTTCTCGGTTTTTTGTTTTCCCCGCCTGCGCAGGAATCGCAAAGAGTATGTGAATCTGCACCTGAAGCTGAGCGTCGACGAGTGAAAAGATGGCGTCATGTCCTTAAGCGTCAGACATATCCTGGAGGTATCTGTCGATGGGAATCAATGGCATAAAGAAAGAACTTACCGTGATCTTTCCTTATCCTTTTGTGATCTTTCCCTGTTTCCCCATGTTCAGATCGCAACCACCACCTTCCCCCCCGCCCCCGCGCCCCCCCCCGCGCCCCCCCCCGCCCTCGCCCCCGCCCCATCCTGCGCCTGCCCTTCCCGTCCCTCTTTTCCATCGCGCCATCGGTTGAGCCCACACAAGCAGCTTATGCTGAGTTTTGCTGGCCGTTGTACGCCTTCTTCGCGGCCTGAATTCCTGAAAGCATAATAGATTAGAAGAACCAACTCCTCGACTTCCTTTCCTCGTCACGTTTGCCTTCGGCTGCTCTCTCCTCCTTTTGCGATTTCCTCTCTCGCCCTTGTTCAGACCGACTCCCCCCCCCCCGGGTCTTTCCCATTTCTCGATATCCTCTACCGATGTCCCCTCCGCCGGCTTTTCCTATCCCTCCCTCCCCATCACTACCTCCCTCCGCTTTGACCATCCCCCGCCACCATCCTGAGAGCTCTAACTTAGTCATCTCACTCCATTGCGACCTTCCCCCTCCCCCCTCCTGATTGGGTACACTATTCTTTGGATCTCACTCAAGAATATCGTGGTTAAGTCCACGGGAGCAGCGTATGCCAAGTTTAGCTGGCAGTTCAACCTTCTCAGCGGCTAGACAGAATATGTAGGAGAAAGAAAACAAAAATTTACGTACTCGACGACTTCTTCTTCTTCTGCTCCTCCTGATGGGGTCTTTCTCTCTCGCCGACGTTCTCATAGCAATGCGCTTCTCCAAAATCTCTTTCCTTATCCCACCCCCCTCCTCCCTCCTCTCCCATCTCTCGATATTCTCCCCTCATATCCCCCTCTGCCTGCTTTTCCCACCCCTCTCTCCCCATCACGACATCCCTGCACCCTTACTATTTCCGGCCCAATTCTCAGATTGCGAGGTCTGGCCCCTTCATCTCTCCCCTCCTCTCGACCTCCCCCCGCCCCTATTGTCGATTATTGTTTTGCATCTCAATCAAAAAACTATCGTAGGTCGAGGCCAGAGAAGCTGCTGATGTCCCGGGGGGGAGGGGGAGGGGGAGAAGAGAGAGAGAGAGAGAGAGAGAGAGAGAGAGAGAGAGAGAGAGAGAGAGAGAGAGAGAGAGAGAGAGAGAGAGAGAGAGAGAGAGA